AGGGGAAAGGAAAGAAGGGAAAAGAAAAAAATGAGAAAAGGAAAAAAATGGAAACAAAGTCTTTGCAAATAGGCAAGGGTGGAGGGGGTGAAGGGAGGGCAGGGGAAGGGGAAAAAAAATAAGAACCAAGATACTCATGTAACGGTACAAGATCCCAATGATGTATGTAACTGTATTTTATACCTAAAATGTACCAATAAACTAAATGGGGAAAAAACAGATCTTGAAAAATATCAGTTTATACCACAGCCAAGAGTATTAGTAGCCAGGATTGGGGATTTAGCTCAGTGGCACCCCGCCTGCCTGCCAAGCTCAAGGTCCTGATTTCCGATACCGAAAAAAAAAGTAGTATTAGTAGCCTCCTGAGCAAGAATAAAACAATGCAGGGCCTCAGTAGATGACTAAGGGAGAGTTAGAAGTTATGTTAAAAGCAAACCTTACCTGCTGAATCAGTTACTGCTTAAATCATCTCCTTTGAAGCTATTCAAACTCTAGCTCTATCCAATCACAAACATTGTCTATGGCGTTGTCAACTTAATACTTACACTTACTTCATTCCTGTTACTTTTTTTTTGGTAACAGGGATTGAGGAGCTTGGGTCCTTGAGCTTGCGCAGCAGGTGGCAAAACCGCTGAGCTAAATCCCCGGCCCCATTCCTGTTACTTTTAAAGTTGTTTCCTAAGTACTTCAACAGCAAGGATTTGGCTTATATCCATCCATCCTTAATGGCCCATAGTGCTTAATGATAGCTGAGTTCTGCATGTTCTAACCTGAGCCCCAAAGGGTGAAGAGTCCAAGATACTTTGTGGCAATTAATGAAAAAAAATGTTTTTCGAGGTACTGTGATTGAATTCAGTGCCTTCACAGCGAGCTATATGCTCAGCCTGTTTTATTTTGTACAGGGTCTTGTCAAATTGCTAAATTGCCCAGTCTGGGCTCAAACTTGTCATCCTCCTGCCTCAGCTTCCTACAGTGCTAGAATTATACTACTGCACCACCACTTGGAGCCTTGTAGCTTTTGTAATCTTCATAAACCCTCCTTGAGCTCCTAACCAAAGCAAGTGACCTCAGGTAAGTATCCCTTCCATTTTGCTTCTCTTTCTCCTTGAAATTTTGTCCTTTGTTCCTTTTGAATGTTTTTAATCCATCTAATTCCCTGTCTCACTCACATAATTCAACAAATAGGAGTCTTTTTTTTTTTTTAAACAGTTTCTCTTCTCTAAATTCCTTATCTTTCTC